TATAAATGTACAGTACATTAAATCATAATGTATAGAACACACTGCACATTGTGTAGCATCAGAATTCATCATTACCACACAATGAGATTTTAAATGCATACATTAATACTGTACCATAATGTACATGTATATGTATAGTACACTGTATGCTCACATTGAGAAAAGAAACACCATTAAATGCAATGAATTCATTGATCCACCAATTAACAGTGTCTCATTGATCATTCCATTTAATATGGTGTTTCTTTTCTACAATGGAGCCAGTTCAAGAGGTTTATGATGACAGAGCAGCTGTGAGTAGAAAACAAGAACTAATACAAACTGTACTGACTGATGTGAAGACTCATGAGGTTACCATAGAAACAAACCTAGCAGACATGCTAGAGCAAGATACGTGATAAAAACTGATGAAACTAAAAGGAGGGAAACGTTATCTGTTGGAACAAGTAAGTCCTATAGATTTATAAATGTATTCAAAGTAGAGGTTTCTTCTATAGGATTTATTAAATGTAACCAAACACTGGAACAGATTTAGGGTACGGCAGGGTATATTTGAAAACAAAATAAATATTTGTGCTGTTGATGCACTTAAAAGTATTCAAAGAATAACAAGAAGTGGAGGAACAGAATCATGGCATTAATAATAATGTACATGTAGATCTCCATGTACAATGTCAATGTATAGCATATCTACATTGATAGATAATATTTGTGTTAGCCTGTACCTTTAATTTTTAAAATAAATTTTTATTATAATAGCAATCAAATAGACTATCTTCAGCATACAAATGAAAAAAATACTAGTATTAGACTATTAATCAGCAAATAATAATAATTATTAGTTTTAATCAGCTATAAGTCTAGAAGGATACACACATTTTCATGTTCTCTATAAGAACATAAACTAAACTAAAATGTAATAACTAGACTATAATTAGCATAATAACTTCACATGATGCACATGTAGGTGAGTCAAACAATCATAATTTAACACACAAATTGTTGTGTACTATTTGTCATTGCTGAATATGGTCTATCAGTTATTCCAGACTTTTGAAGATATTGTCATTTCTTGTTGTTTTGCATAAGAAGGATTGTAAGCTTTCATCATAAATGATTTCAATGCATAAAATATTGACTTGATTGATACAGTAAAAGTACTGGATTTCTTATTAGTCAACTCATTATTGTTTGACACTGGATCTGGTTCTCCAGCTGGAGTGTTGGTAATTAGTAGCTCTTTAGTATCAGATCGATCAGACTCAATCTCATTCATGATATCCAGTGCATTCATTCCTTCATCATTTCTTTTGTTAACATCAGCTCCAGTTTGTATTAATGCATCAACTAGTTCAGCATGTCCACATGAAGCTGCTATCATTAATGGAGTTATACCAGCTACCAGTGGAGTATCTGGACTCATACCAAAGTCAAAAATCATACTAATTAATGTTCCTAAATCTCCTTTAGCAGCTGCTTCTAAAAGTTTTCTCTCACTGTTTGAAAGAGTTGTTATTTTCTGAGACAAGTGAATTATCATTGAAGAATGGCCTTCATAACATGAAGCAGTAAAAGCACTAATGATGTGTTCTGGTGTGATGTCACACTCCTCCACTAAGATTGTAACTGCATCAAAATTATTGAATAATGCTGCTACTACTAATGAATGAAACTCTTTACCATCAACAAGGTGAGTGTGATTAGGATGAGACTTAAGTAATGAAGCACCATGGTGCGTGGACTCGCCTGCTGAGATTCACCTGAGGGATAATGTGTTACTTGTACTGCCCCCATCATGATATTATATATATATATATATATATATATATATATATATATATATATATATATAAGCAACTTGATATTTGAAAAAAGGATAATAGATTTTGACAAAGTGCAACAATGCAATTAGCCAATTACTGCACTAATCCATAAAATAAATTATAGGTGTGGTCAGCACCTAGATCTAGCAGAACAGTGCAGTGCAGATAAACATGGCACGTGGGTAGGAGAAGAAGAAAAGCTGAAATTTATTTTAGCATCTGAAGCTCTATTCAAAGAAAGAGTAAGCACAAAACTTTTGCCTAGATATTTAAAAGAGACTGAGATAGTTTGGTTGCTCTTGCTTTCCCCAGTTCTGCCTGAAAATTTTTCGAAGAGGCTAAATCACAAACTTTGAGCAACTGTAACTCGCAAACAAAAAAGAGATTAGAAAATCCCCACATATTTTTTAATCTAGGTACTTTTCTCTACCTATCAATGCTAATCTTGACCAAATAGAGTAAAACACGAAGATTTGGCTAGGAAAAATGGTCTATTCTTGAAAATATTCAGCTTTTGCTACCACGGATTACTATGAAAATACAACGGAGCTAAATAAATTATCTTTTTCTCAAAGCTTAAAAAGAATTATAACTCAGGAGAGCTCAGTAACAAAGATATTGACTAGGAATTAACAGGAATTTTCGTGACAGAATGACAGAATGACAACCCAACTGCTTAGTACCCGCCTACGCAAGCGTGGCGAGTCCAATACGCAAGCGTGGCGAGTCTAACAACTGCTTAGTACCCGCCTACGCAAGCGTGGCGAGTCCAAAAATTTTAATGTTGCATTATGGTTGAGCAACTGAGTACAATTGTCAAGAGGTATGTCACCATCTGTAACAAAAGTTTTAGTTGAGCAAACAAGAGTAAAAGTAAGCGCACTGTGGCCATTATTATTTTGAATGTTAATATCTGGATCTTTACTCAGCAAAAGTTCAACAACCTGGTGATGTCCAAAGTAACTAGCATACATCAAAGCAGTAACTCCATCTTTATCTTGAATATTAATATCTGGATTTTTACTCAATAATAGTTCAACAACCTGGTGATGTCCATTGGCACTAGCACCCATCAAAGCAGTCTGCCTATCATCATCTTGACTGTTAATATCTGGATCTTTACTAAGTAAGAGTTTCACAGCTTGGTGATGTCCATTGGCACTAGCAGCTATTAAAGCAGTCCCTCCATCATTTTTTTTAATGTCAATATCTGGATCTTTACTCAGTAAGAGTTCAACAACCTGGTGATGTCCATTACCACTTGCATACATCAAAGCAGTTGCTCCATTCTTATCTTGAATGTTAATATCTAGATCTTTACTCAGTAATAGTTCAATAACCTGGTGATGACCATAACAACCAGCAGCCATTAAGGCAGTCTCTCCCACATTACTTTGAATGTTAATATCTGGATTTTTACTCAATAATAGCTCAACAACCTCATGATGTCCACTGACACTAGCAGCTATCAAAGCAGTCCATCCATTATTATCTTGAATGTTAATATCTGGATCTTTACTCAGTAATAGTTCAACAACTTGGCTATGTCCAAAGCGACTAGCAGCTATTAAAGCAGTGTCTCCAATTTTGTCATTTTGAGTGTTAATATCTGGATCTTTACTCAGTAAGAGTTCAACAGTCGAGAAATCTCCTGTTGCACTAGCAGCAATCACATGGTCACTGTCAACATCATCTTTGTCAAGAAAACTGCCAAAAATTACATGAAATAGATCTATATTTTGAATTGCTTGCAGTGCAGGATCATTTGCAATAGGAACACCATCAATTGTAACCTCAAAAATACCAATTTCACATAGAGAACTCCCCTGTTTAGAAACTGCTTCTTTTAAAGCCTTGGTGTGTAATTGTGGCATTAGATAAGAACATATAAGATTGGAGGTACCACATTGTATTTCAAAAAGAGTTAAAAAAGAGGATAAGTTAAAATTTTCCACTTCATTTAGTTCAGCAATTGTCCTGGAGCACCATGACTTGTAGAGTTTTAATAGTATCAATGAATAGCCAACACCATCAGGACATTGCATTCCTCTAGTCATCATTGCTAGCTCCAGTAGGCTAGTGGTATCTTTGAACATCTTCAGGTTAGTATTGTATTCTTCTACCTGTTCCTTGATAGGTTCTGTGATAGTACATGGTATTGTAAAAAGGTCAACTTTTAAAAACGAGTAATGAGGCTGGAGCAACTGCACTAGTTGATGAGCATTTTCACAAGTAACATCTTCTCTTATATATGATTGAAACTTTTGTTTTTCTTCTGTTACCAATGCTTTGCTGGTTAAAATATTAATGGCTGCACCAAGAAAACTACTGTCTAATACATGAAAACAATCTTGCAGCCATTGACACTTTTCTTTTATTTTATTTTTAACAATATATATAAATGGACTATACCAAAACTTATAAATACTCACTCCTCTTTCTTTAACAGCCATTTCTAGCATGTCTTCAACTGAAGTGTTATCTTGTGGTATAATTTTTTCTCCTCCAATTGATTTGTATATATGCTGAGAGAGAGCAGTACATGCTAAATAGTTCAATCCAATGTATCCTTTATTGGCTGGTAGTTGTACAAATGGATCGGCACCATTTTGTAGTAACGATTTGAAAATTTCAATGTGTCCACCTTGGCTTGCTAGCATTAGTGCAGTCTGACCATCAGTGATCTTGTAATTTAGTGGTATTTTAAGTTCTATCAGAAGTAGTGCCACATTCTCATATTCTGCATGACTGTCAATATGATTGATGGCATGTAACAGTGAATCTTCAAAAGTGAATTTAATATCTTCTTCCCTTTTTATGATAATGTCATCGTTAATGATTATTTGAAATATACCAAGGTATTGGATAAATTGAATTTTATTTTGTACTTCATCAATAAGAGACTGTGCTGTTGAAAGAAACAAGAATGTAACAGTAATTGATCCATCGACAACTTTAATCAATTTAGCACGACCATGACTATCCCGTTTAAAAAGGAATGCAATGAGCCTTTCAAGGTTTTCCACTGTTTTCTCTTCCCAGTCCCCAGTAAGTTTAATAACAATTTTACAATGTGCTTCTGAAGCTTCATGTGGTAGAAGTACTTGCTTTATTGCATCCTTCATTTGTTGTAGTGCAGTTGATTTTTAAACTGTTTTAATTGTTGTACATACTTGTTAAGTTTCAACTGTAACTCTTTACTGAGAGGGAATTTTTTTGTAAGGTTCTCAATTAAATCAAAATTTAAAAAACTGTAATAAGGCTTAACTAAATGAAGTAGGCTATTAAAATCTTTGCAATTAGTTAGAGGCTCTTCAGTAAGACAATCTTCAAAATAGTCTGCTAAAAAGCCAGCAATTTTTTTAACTTTATATTTCTTATAGTAATTTCTGATGTAACCCATCAATGAAACGAAGTCATTAAAAAGATACTGCATTTTTTGAGGTACTTCATCATCAGAGCTCAGCGGAATTTCTGAAAGAAGAGATAAATCAGTGGATGTTTCAGTGTCAATTTTCAGAGACCATTTCAGACTATGTTTATTCAATACTTCACGTTCCCAATCTTCAGCTAGTGCAATGGCTGCATCTTTAGCTGGGCCACCAGCTTTAGCAAGGCAATGTACAAAATTACAGCATTTGTCCTCTAATTTGGTCATATCTTCTTTGTAAAGAGATAATGATGCCACAAATTCATTTTCAATTTTATCAAAAGAAGGTGAGCTTTTAACATCCCTGCTAATAAGACCCTTAGAAAAAAATTCCACAGTAACAGATTCTAAGCAATGCTTAGTAGCATCAAATAAACAGGAATAATGGGCTCTCAATGTAGTCTGAACTGTTTTAGTGGCATTTATTTGTACTCCTATTTAAGAAATAAAAGATATACAAGATTTAGATAACTTCTAACCTTTCTTGTTACTGTCTGTCAAAATTTGCTGAGCCAAAATGTGTTCATTTGCATTTAAAAGTGACATCATGATTATTGACCATGTTATATCAGGATTATTATCAAGACAGTGTTGAGCTACAGCACTCATGGTGTCCTCTATTGATCCTCTCTCTTTGATTCCAATAATGATATCTTGTGTCATGTTAGGAAGACAACAGACAAACTGTTCCCAAGTACCAGCAGTAAACTTTGAGCTACTCAATAACTCAATCAATTCATCTTTTGTTGGCTTATCTGTAGAAGAATTACATTAGAAATTTAGAATCATAACAAATTAAAACTAGCACCATTTCATATACCAGTAAGAGTGGGTCCAGGATTAAGTTCCACATCTCCTGATATGAAGAGGAGGATAAGAAGACAAAAAATAGACAAAACAAGTCTAGGGGTCTTCACTTGTGTAGTATTACCAGCACTAGCTCTACCAGTTCCACAGTAAGTGTTACCAGTACTAGTACAAGCATTGGGTTGCCTCCAATGGCGGGAACAGTTCCAGGATCCTATTCTAGCTCTCCACTGACACAAATCAATCATGGCTGAAGAATTGACAGTAAAAGTAGAGCTCTTTACAATGCAAAGAGAAGCAGAGGAAGTGAGAAACAAATAGGTCAGGTGAGCATATTACAGTGTCTGATATGCACAGTTGTTACAACAAGTGGTGATAATCATACTCTATAGTCTACTACAGAAAGCCATATGATACCATTTATGGTCAAAGTGAAGGAGTATAAGTCTATGCTTCACAACATGTTTTGACAAGATACAGATAATCAATAGACAAATGCACTTTTACTAATAATATACATTATTATAATGTTGCTAAATATAGCTTTATTGGCTGTCTTGACTCCACCCCTCGTGCTGTTATCAGCCATACAGCACTCTTTACTGTGCTATAACTATTATGTATAGAACACACTGCACATTGTGTAGCATCAGAATTCATCATTACCACACAATGAGATTTTAAATGCATACAATAATACTGTACCATAATGGACATGTATATGTATAGTACACTGTATGCTCACATTAAGACAATGGAGCCAGCTCAAAAGGTTTATGATGACAGAGCAGCTGTGAGTAGAAAACAAGAACTAATACAAACTGTACTGACTGATGTGAAGACTCATGAGGTTACCATAGAAACAAACCTAGCAGACATGCTAGGGTCAAGATACATGATAAGAACTGATGAGTCAGCAAATAATAATAAAGAAACTAAGAGAATTACAAGAGAAGGAGGGAAACTGTTGAAACAAGTAAGTCCTGAACATTATATATGTACTGTACATGTACACAAAGTAGAGATTTTTAGAATTATAGGATTTATTAAATGAGCAAAAATTTACAGGCCTAACACTGGAACAGATTTAGGGTATGGTGAAGTATATTTGAAAACAGAAAAAAATGTGTATAATTACATGTAATAGTAGACTTATAATCAGATCTGTAGAAACCTTTACCTTGTTGTATATATTCTACATGTGTACATGTATGATGTGTATGTGTACATGTGCACTTGTACATGTATAATAATAATAATCATGTGTTATCTGTTATACATACTTTACTTACTGATTGTAATAATTGTTGTTATTAGTTGGAGGATAAGTTTGATAGTGTATGTGAAAGTTCACTGGAGGCTATTGATGCACTTGAAAGTATTCAAAGAATAACAAGAAGTGGAGGAACAGAATCATAACATTAATAATAATGTACAGTACATGTATTAGTATATGTATACGTTGATAGATTATAAGTTCGATTTTCAAAAATTTTTAAAATTAATAGCAATCAAAAAGTACTCTAACTATTATTGTCACTCAAAAAATACAGTTGCATTAGACTATCAATCAGCTAATAATAAAAATTACAATGTTAATTATAACTACATGTACATGTATATTCCACAAATATTCAATTAGACACACAAATATGTACATGTACATATCAAAGTATGAAAACTACAGGGACATGTACATTGTACATTGTACATTGTACAATTACATGTATGTCTCCATAGTAATAAAACTACATGTACATGTACTCTTGAAGTTAAGCAATCCATCATTGATTAAGACACAAAGTGTGGCATATTATTACTTGTCATTGCTAAATTTGGTGTATTACTTCTTCCTGGATAAGGTATCTTCTGTTCTTTTTGCTTGCTATAGTATGGATCATAAGCTTTCTTCATAAATGAATTAAACATGCCAAATATTGACTTGATTGCTGAGACAGTACTTGGTTTTTTATTAGTTGTCTCAACAATGTTTGATACTGGATCTGGTTTACCAGCTGGAGTGTTTGCTATTAGCAGCTGTTTAATTTCAGATCGATCATAAAACTCAACACCATTTACTATATCCAGTGCATTCATTCCTTCATCATTTTTATTGTTAACATCAGCTCCAGCTTGTATCAATACTTCAACTAGTTCAATGTGTCCACATGAAGCTGCTATCATTAATGGAGTTATACCAGCTACCAGTGGAGTATCCGGACTCATACCAATTTCATAAATCATACTAATTAATGTTCCTAAATCTCCTTCAGCAGCTGCTAATAAAAATTTTCTAACGTTAGTTAAAAGAGTTATTTTCTCAGACAGATGAATTATCATTGAAGAGTGACCTCCATAACATGCCTGAGTAGAAGCACTAATGATGTGTTCTGGTGTAATGTCACATTTCTCCATCAAAATTGTAAATGCACCAAAATTATTGGACAGTGCTGCTACTGCTAATGAATGAAGCTTCTTACCATCAATAGTGTGAACATGATTAGGATGACAATCTAATAAAAGTTCCAAAATTTCAATATAATTACCAGAATGTAATGGGTCGGGCAAATGAGTACGCTCATCAAGAGGTGTATCATCTGCAACAAGTTTATTTATTACAAAAATTGAGAGCAATAGAGTAAGGGAAAGTGCAGTTGTTCCATCCTTATTTTGAATGTTAATATCTGGATCTTTACTCAGTAATAGTTCAACAACCTGGTGATGTCCATAGCAACTAGCAAGCATCAAAGCAGTCCATCCATCATTATTTTGAATGTTAATATCTGGATTTTTGCTCAGTAAGAGTTCAACAACTTGGTGATGCCCATTGTAACTAGCAGCCATCAAAGCAGTCATTCCATTATTATTTTGAATGTTAATATCTGGATCTTTACTCAGTAAGAATTCAACAACCTGGTGATGTCCAATGTAACTAGCAGCCATCAAAGCAGTCGATCCATCATTATCTTGAATGCTAATATTTGGATCTTTACTCAGTAAGAGTTCAACAACCTGGTGATGTCCAATGTAACTAGCAGCCATCAAACCAGTCGATCCATCATTATCTTGAATGCTAATATCTGGATCTTTACTCAGTAAGAGTTCAACAACCTGGTGATGTCCATTGACACTAGCAAACATCAAAGCAGTCCATCCATCATTATTTTGAAT